AAAATTTGAAAATACTAGAAGGGTCTAGGTTTTCGAAAAATCCTTCTGCCAAGAGCCATTTCGTTCCCAATGATCTTTTTTGCACGGGCCATCAGCATTTACCGAATGGAAATGTGCTCTTTGTTGGTGGTACACAGTATTACTATCCATTCGATACGGGTCATCGCTCAACTTTTATCTTTGACTGGCAAAAAGAACTTAATATATCATGGAGCCATGTCGACTGGCGACGAATACCAGATGAAAAAAACAATCCATGGCTTTTTGCCGGATTCATGCGACGAGGACGGTGGTATGCCAGTATTTTACCACTCTTAGATGGACGGATGATGGTTTTCGGAGGATTCGTGGGCTTTGATGTGGGTTATCCATCCATGTACGCTTTTGAAATGAATCATTTTGTGGAATTTTTCGATCCTAGTACATCGAACTGGTCAGCAATCGATGTCAAGTCGTTGCCCCACAGTCCGTTTACTACACTCATCAATCCCAAATTCAAGCCGACCAAAGGATGGAAATGCGGTCGGCGCTGCATTCGAGACAACAGATACGATGCATTTAAGCTCTATCCAGAAAACTATCTGACTTCAGATGGACGCATCTTTTTGACGCGTGAGGGTGACTGGACAAGCGCACGGACGACAGATGCCGCCTTCATTCGTCGCACGAATCGAACGTACTGGATTGAACTTCAGGACAAAGATCGGATCTCATTTTCACGCGGACCAGACCGTCTCGTCAATATCAGCTCGTATGGTACGACCTTTCTGGATCCGAACAGTGGTCTTATTAGCTTGCTCGGTGGCCAGCCCGTATCGCCCGGAATTCGATTGTACAAGGACTCTCCTCATGACAACTATTTTGCTGGCGGACGGGGAAGCCGAAAACTCGAACGATTTCATCAATCGAAATATGAGCCTGACGGCGGCCATTGGACTCTTGATCCCAATTTTCTTAGTACAACAAGCGCTGATGATCGCTCAAATCACTATGCCCTTATTCTTCCCACGAGTCAAATTCTGATCCTAGGTGGTAGTAACTACGACTTCTACGGTTCCATTCATTATCCATTACTGCTTAGTCCACGCTTCAGTACGCAAACCAATAAATTTCTCGGCTACAAGAAAGAAATCATGAATGAACACGTTGAAGCTCGGCTGTATCACACCGCAGCCCTACTCATGCCTGACGGTCGGATATGGCTATCAGGCGGCAATGCGGGTCGGGCGACTGTACATAAGCGGCGAGGACCTCTCTCATTCCATAACGTGAGTGGTGGCACGCAGCCACTGCCTGATCTGGACCTTATAGATCTGGATTTTTATTTCACTGTGGAAGATCTCGTTATGGGACGGCGTTCAAAAGGATCTTCTGATGTGCCCACGGAAACATGGATAGCTGAGATATTTAGTCCACCTTATTTATTCATCGATGGCGAACGTCGTGCTAAGATCGTGTCTATTCGTCAGACGCATGCCAGCTATTCCTTTCGAAAGGTAATTGGCAATCAAATCTTTTATTTACTTCATAGTAACCACTCATATATTGTCCTCCTGTCAGGTTTGCCAGGACGTTGTGCTACTCAAGGCAAAGCTTCCCTTGTTTTGAATAAACTACCATGGGCTACTCATGGTTGGGACGGAGGACAACGTTTATTCAGCTTGCAATTTCAGCAGCAAGATCAACACGACCAAATTCAGTTTCAGACACCTGATTTACGGAAATCAAATTTGCCTCCTGCCTACTATATGATGTTTTATGTCGATTGTATGGGCAAGCCGTCAGCAGCTCGGATGATTCGTTTCGACGACGATGCACAAGAGCTTTAAGACAAACTATATGTTAACCACGCATTACTGGAGCAGTCAAAATAAATCACAGCGCTTCAACGTAAAAAGTTCGAAAGTTTCTCGGCGGAAGGATTTTTCGAAAACCTAGACCCTTCTAGTATTTTCAAATTTTTATCATCAAAAACCATGTTGGAAAACTAGATCTATATATTCTTGATCATCTCGATGAGCTCTATCGAACTATGTATAAATAAGAAGAAAATAAAACAGTGCATAAACTTTGAATTAGCGGGACGGTACCTTACAAGTAATCGTAATTGATAATATAAGGATCAGACAGCACCAAGGAACATAAAAATATTAGTTTTTCATTCAAGAAAAAATGAAGCTGTTTTTTTAATGGCTTTAAACAATAAATTCTTGCATCATTAATACTGTTATTTTTTGTGCAGGAACAATCGAAAAAAGATGATGCTGAACTGTTATTTATCAAAGCAACAGTTGAGAACATGATTACAATGTTAAAACCATTAACGGAGTTTCATTGTTTATGTCATTTATTTAATTGTATAAAATCATTTAAAATAATAAACAAAGTTAAAGTGAACACAAATGCACAAGATTTTATTCGAGATGTAAAACGTGATTTTCCAACGTGTACATTTGAAGTTGGTAAAAAAAAAATACAGGAGCATATAATTTTTATTCATGATCGACAAATCGTTTAATGAACATTAGCATGTGAAAGATTAGCCTGTCATGAAGTTCTCTATACAACGACAAATAATGATTTTAGTGAAACCACCTACTCGAATAAAGAAGCTTTGAATATTGATAAAAATACTTTAAACGGTGAATTTGAAATACATCAAAGCGATTATTTAAAATTTCTTATCAATAATTCTAATCCTAATAGTCGATTGAAAAAGCTTTGGTATCGTCAGGATCAAAGAATATGTCATCATGTTTTCTTTTTCGTGGAATATTTGATGTTGCTTATCGAAAACTCTACCATCGTGTATAATTAATAAGTACTCAAGATGCTAATGAAATATTAAAAAATGTTTTTAAATTTATTGATCGTTTATTAGCAGGTGAAATTAATTTAACAGAAATGACTGATTTAAAAATAATATTTTGTAATAATAATATTGATATTTTAAGTAAAGTTAGAAAATTATTTTCAAATCGTTCAATAAAATCGAATAGACAACAAACCAGTTCAATTACAACATCTACTTTAATGGATAATATTACTAGTGAACAAGACGTTGTTGAAGTATATGAATGGCTTCAAATTTATCAATATATTAGTTTTATTACAACAATTATTGATTGTATCAAAAAAAATTTGATCTTTTATTAGAAAATAATGATAAAATTCATATTTTTGGACATTTAACAAAATTAGGCAATGTACAAAATAGTCTTTTAAAAACTATTGCTGTTTCACATAAATCATTAAAAGAAGAATTTAAAGGTCTTGATAATCGTCATCTCGAATTAATTAAGACAATATTGGAATGTTCATCTGTTATTAATTTATTGAAAAAATCTGATTTATATTTAAAACATGGACGTAGACGATTTCAAGAATTACGTGATAATTTAACAACATTATTCCAATTACAAGAACGAAATAACATGATTTTAAATGCATTAATTATTACATATGCTGTTTGTGAGCCATTTGTATTAAAAGCACAAAATTTAAAAGAATTTGTTAGTCGATTACTAAAATTACATAATTTAGATAAATCATTGAATCAAATAAAAGGTATATTTGAGCAACATTAATACATTTCAATGATGAATTTTACTAATTAAATTCTATATTTTAGTTGTATCTGAAAATATTTAATTAGTACAGATGTGGCTATCGATTGATGAAACAAATATACTTAACAATGCACTAATTATAATGGAACATTTATTTAAGACTGGGACTGTTCATGTTCACTTACAACGATTAAAAAATGAAAAATCACATTTTGAAATTCATTATCATATAGAAAAACGTTAAGACAAAGCCAATGAACAAGAACAAGAAAAAATTAATTTTGTATTATCGAAGGCTGATATTGATGATCACAAACGTTAATTAACATTTTGTAATGTTGATTTAGATAATATGCCGTATAAAAAATTATTATTACAAGAACAATTAAAAATTCTGCGTATCATTGAACAGATTTATTCAATTTTATTAGAATTAGAACTATCTGGGCATCCTGAATATCAATTATGAAATGAAAAATATGATAATTATGATAGAACAGGTAATATCTTGGATAATTATTAGAGATGTGAGTAAAAATCTTCTGTATAAGCCGTCGTAGAGGACTTATTAGAGAAAAATTGAGAGGTAAACGACTTCCCACAAGGAATCATGTTTTTGTTCTATTTAGCTTCATCTATATCTGTTTGCGAGATGGTGCTACAACAAGGAAGTTCAAAAATCTCAAGTGATTGATACTGTGGTGAACTTACAAGGGCGCATCCCAATGTGTGTCTTTTTTTAATCAATACTCTTCAACATTAGAGCCATCTTACTAATGGATGATAGTTTTAAATTTTTTTCTCAATAAAATGGGTGTAGAGGAACAGAAACTAAAATTAGCTATCCAGAAATTCCTGAAAGATATGTCATTCGATATAGCTTGACAAACGAATGCCGAATATGTTATTAGCTTTATCAAAAAAAGTCAATGAAAGGTGGAAAAAATGAACGCAACGCAAATGAATATACGTTAGAATTAAATAGTACGATTCTAGTTATTTCTGGTGTGTCTGAGTGTCGAGTTATCTTGCCCATAAGATGAACAGACATTTCGATGAACACATAGGATTTCTTTTCTTATTTAATTCTAACGTATATTCATTTGCAGATATATAAAAAGTGTATCACAATTGGGAAGGTATGCATCATTTTTAAAAATCATGCTATTCTGTTCAGATCTTTTCTTCTGTTCAAGCTGCTGATGTAACGACGTTGCCTATTACGAAAAGGAGTCAACAATCTACTTTTTGTACCCTGTAAGAGCATAAAAATGATTTAGATATATATTAATAATTTTTTATGAATTTTAAATATATATTAAATATATAATAAAATTGATATTTTATATCTGTGCAATTCTGAAGAACTATATGGAATAACAGCAGTGCTCTATACAAGCTATAGATGGATATTCTTTTTCTCCTTCTGTTCGTTCACTAGGATAAAATACGAAAAGAGAAAGTGGAAACAAAAGCATGTATTCCGAACGACAAAAAAAAGAGAGACAGCAATAAAAGGCGTTAATTTCCACATAAAACCAGTTTTTCCTCTATTTCTCGAAAACTAGACTTTGCACCTAAAAAGAGACGCCGGATTCGGGATCTACGTAAGAAACTGAATCAGAATACACATACCGGTTTCTTCCAAACCGGACGCAGGTATAATAGACTCGATAATGTCTAGTATAATAACAATCTGTGATGGGTATATTTCCTTACTGTACTTTTCTACGGAAAAGAGGTTCGTGCTGATATCCAAAGTCCGGTTTCGATTTTTCAATTTCCTGGTGTTGTTGATTCAATGTTCCGGCATCCCTCGCCGGATCAAACGTCGAGTATTTTCCAAATCCGGCCATATGTGAAGCTGTGGAATGGAAACATTTATCCTGAAAGCAATTTGTTTATGGAGTGTACGGTTAAGGGTAGGACTGTAAAAGTTCCCGTTGTGTTGATTTAATACTAACTGAAAATACAGTTACCGTTAAAAAAAATGGTAACTATCAGTTAGTTAACTTTGTAGTAACTATTTTTAAGTATGGCGGAAATATCCACGCAAACTGGCTGGAGATGCTGAGGTCTCCAGAGACCTTAAAAACCGCAGTTACAAAACATTTAAGTTATATAATTTCGATTAGTTTAGTTGACTGGCACGTGTGTGCTAATCAAAACCATGTCATTTATGAAAGTTTCAACAGTTCTAGTCAGAGGTGGGCGGATTTCCGTTAGATAGAAATTTTCACTTGGTTTAGTATTCTATTGGGCACTTAGAATTGTATGATACAAAGTGGAATAGAAGAACATTTTAAGCCATTTTAGCAGTGCATAAGTTGCATTGCTTCATTATATTACGAATTAAGCTGTTGGATAGAAATCATTAGAATAGTAAAAGACTATAATAGTAGAATATTAGAATAGCAGAATAGTAGGAGAGTATATAGGAGATAGTAGAACAGTGCTTTCCAGGGGTACAGCCTAAACCACCACAGGTACACATATTTGTTATGTATCAAAGTAAAGCTTATTCTAAATGAAATCCGATGGCATAGTGCTTTATAATACAGAAAGTAAAAACTGTTTTTAAAAGATAGGATTTTGAACAGGCCTCAGGAAAATTCGTCCGGATTTCAGAATATGAACTAGCAGCGAATTTTCCTTTTTACATGGGTAAACGGTCGCCAGTGATCCTCCAGAAAACTGAAAGAGTTCAGTCTTCACTGAACATGGGTGTGGCGTCGCATGAGGTTTCCTAGGAGGGCCAGGATTGCCTCTGACTCCTGATAATCCTAACTCCAGCCCCAGTATAAAACCTTTGCTATTTCCAAACATTTCCAGAAAGTCTTTGCCAAACGCTGAGTACTTACTTGTCACGATAAAGTAATTATCGCCGTAACTGCAAAAAGTCCGTGACGCCCTCGATAAAACAAGCACTTACCGCGATAAATGTATCGAAAGTATCCTCGTAGAACAATTATCGATAATAGAACGATATATCGTCTGCAAGGTATTTTTCTGTTCTCTTTTCCAATTGATCTGATTACTTCTTCAAAGGTAATTAACCATTATGTTTCAAAACATTATTCTTTTATCAATCTATGAAAAACACATAGAGTTATGTGGGGTAAAAAGAGTCAGTGCACGAAATTTTCTTTGTAATTTCATTATTTCTCATCCATTTTTAACTGAACAAATTCGATATTAGCCACATTGGTAGAGACGATAATTATGCACGTACTAGTGCAAACATTTCCTGAAAATTCATGTTGGTTTTTCAGATATATCCAGCTGGAAGTCGAGTCGTTTTGAATATTGACTCTTTTTACCCTGTCGACACAAGTGAGCTGACTCTTTTTACCGCATATGGAGTAAAAAGAGTCAATCAAAACGACTCGACTTCCAGTTGAATATATCTGAAAAATAACCTGAAACAAGGATAATTTTATTTTAGATCTCTCGTATATTTAACAAAAACATTAGATCCTAGAATGCACTCATAACTAAACATAAAACAAATAAACAAACAGTTCCACACTTAAAATCGGCTAGAGAGCAAGCTAATTGCGTCGAACCACTTTGTAGTTTTTTGCTTTTAAAGACCATGAAAGTGGCAATGAGCCAAAACTTTGACTGAGATTTCGATTCACAGTACACTTCCAATGACTTTTTCTACTAAAACCACAGAAAAAACAGCTTGTAGTTGTAATAGTTTCAAACATACATACTCATCAAATTTATTATCATAGAATATTAGCGGTAGAGACATAACAAAGTTCGCTGACAGATAGCAAATCAAAGTAAAAGATAAAACTCCCACAGGACATTAAAATCTGTGTAAATCGCGCAGCTTTCTGATGGCTAAAAGCACTGCGTATTTGAGTTAGCCTATGATTTCTTTGATATTTTATGCATATTATAGAAAATAAATCTAAATGAAATACCTTAAACAGACTAGTTACACAAAAATCAGTGGAGTTCGAAACATCCTTATGGCCTTTATTTTGTCAACTGGCTGACAGTAGCCCGAAAACAATCGAAATTGCGCCAATAGTGAGGGGAACTAAGTCAGAAGAATCTTGCTACTGTTAGTAGTTACATAGTGGACAACTTCGAACCCTCGTCAAAGTGTTTACTAGAAGATGTTCAGTTTGTAAAAGTTTTCCTTTGTAACATAAAAGTTCGTTGGTACTCGTTACTTTTACTGAGAGGGGGCTCCATGTCTGTCTCATGATGGTTTTTCTATTTATATATCTGTTTTTTAAAGTCAGACTGACCTAAAATGACAGGTATATGATTCTTCAGATAAAGGCAAAATTGGAAAGCGTTAGAAAAGATGCGGCCTCTCCAAGAAAAAGTGATAAACAGATACAGTTAACCCTTGCTGCACGCCACATTTAAAAAATCATTAGTTGTATTTTTTGCGTAAGTGCGTCTTTTGACGCAATATTTTATTCAGTGTTTAAAATGCTGAATTGGGCATTGAAGGTTTTGCTATATCAAAACAATGATATGGAGTTAAATATTAAACATATATTTTGAATAGTAACTGAAATCCGAAGGCTTATCATGTTTACATTAATTTGCAGAAGAGATACCGATGGAACTCTCTTAATATTAAATTATAAAGTTTTGGCAAATACTGTAAGCCGTTTGTATGGAAAACAAAAAAGAACTATTAGAGCACTTTGTATTCCAAGGTTTTTCCTATCTTTAATTAGAATTTGCCTTGGCTGAACTTTCGCCCATTTCCGTCCAATAAACAATGAATTCTGACCCAGGTCATCAAAACCGGTTAAATACCGCCCGATTACTGCTCCGGTACCAGTCTGTTACATTCCCTGGTATAGCATCAGCAGAACTGGAATTACCGCACGGTCTACTGAACTGCCGTATATCGGTCGATTGTACCGGCGGTATCAACTGGTATTTTATCAGTGTGAGCAAACAGTACATGAATTCGAATCTAGTTCTCAGCTTTCTTTTTTTTGTTTTTTGCAGTGCGCATGCAGCGCAATGAGGTACCCTGACGACAAAAACTTGACTCAAGTCGAACTGCAAACTTCGATGAGTCTGTCGCTAAACCGATAGTTATACCGAACGGTACCGTTAACCAGCGGTAATCTATAGATCGATCGGTAACCAGCGGTATCACGAAAAACACTGCGACATGGGGAGTCTCTTAATATACGTTTTCTTAGAAAGTTAGATTTGTCTCTTCAAGCTATTTCAAAATGTATTCTGATCGACAAAAAACTTTGTATGAGACACTAATTACCTAGTGCTTCCACTTTCTTAATACTGTCATGAGTGAATGTAAATGAATTGCCGGATTATAGATCAATAAATTGGGTGGCACGTACCCTACTACTCTATTGTATTTATTGCTTTTTGTGAAATATGCCCTTAGTTTAAATTAAGTAATTTATGCAACGCGGCTCCATGCCATTTATCATGTTCTATAGTGGAGATCTGGTAACATGTCCTTTGCTCGATCGAACCATATTGTCTGTTTGAGCAATATGTCCTTCCATAGTAGGCAATATTGTCCGCCACGGTCAGAAGGCATGGCAACGGACTGCATAGCGTCTACCACATCCATGCTGTCTTACATATCCATGTACATACCATGATAATAGTACGATATGTAAAGCGTTTGTCGGGATTTGTTCATCCAATATGTAGCTGTATTCTGACACTTTTCCAAAAGTTATGAATTTCTTTTGCTGCTTGTAAATATTATATGAAGGAGATACGGCAACATGTTTTCGTATCTCAGTAAAGCTAGCGAGTTAAGGCCTGAAATCCTTTTTTGGTACGATTGTGCTAGTGATCTACTGATATCACAGGAATATTGAGACCTTCAACTATACTACCATCTGTTTCAAAAAATAAAATGGACTCTACCATTTTTTGAAATAAAGATACTACAAAATTATTTAAGTGTCAACCGACTTGCTTCAGACGTTCAAAAAATGCTTAAATCTGACTGATCTAAAGCAACAACAAAATGAAACAACCGGTTAACATAAAATATTTAGATACATTTGCTGGAGTTTCATGCGCTGCTCCAGCTAAGTATCTAGATAAAAGAGTGAAAAGTATCAGATTAGCTAGATACATCGTTGGTTTGACCCCATTACAGGATGCATCTAGGACAAAAATATGTGCTAAAAACTAGTATAAACTAGTTTGATCTGGCGATTAATTGTGCTATGCATTGAATCAGGCGGAAAAAAAGAAAAGAAAAGAAATAACTTCCCTGCAGAGATTTGAACTCTGTGCGTATAGAGATTAGCAATCGAATCTTCTCTCTATACCACCGCACCGTATAGTGGAACATCGAAAATTAGCAAAACAATGTATTTCTGGTTTTCCATTAGGAAGGAAGTGTTTTCCAAAGTTGAATCTAGAGAGACATAGGTGACATATTTAATCTGCTAATTTTCATCTACTCGATTCAATTTTGTACAAATCAAACTTCACAGTGAAAGACGATAATTAGTGGTTTTTATAATTTGTACTAGGACGATTTATTACAAGTTGCATCTAGTTAGAATCACGTTTCACTAAATGCTTTGCCAGATACATCAGCAGCAACATCTTGTAAAAGGTTGATACCAGATGTACTACTAAACATGCCGCCTTCGGTTGTATACTACTGGATATACTTATATTAATCCGCTTTAATTTGTACTAGACTGTGATCAACTTTTCGAATCAGAGCTCGAATTCCATGGCGGGATGCCTAAAAGTAGGAATTTTCCAGATATCCCATAAGATCAAAATCCTCGTTAGGTCCATTGTATAAAACTGTAATAATCAGATATAAAGTACGGAAAAAAACTGAGAAAATTTTTTTCCTCCAAGAAATTTGTTAGAAATCGTATGAACATAATGCACACACTCTTAGTTTATATAAGTGGACAAAATGTGTTTGATTGCGCATTGGAGCATTTCTCTTTTGGTTTCACTTGTATCATTGTGTTCGTTTTCAAGTAAATCGATCCCTCGCTGAATAGTTGAAGATAAAGGCCTGTCTTTTTTCTTTTCTATTTTCTGTACTCTCGCTACCACGTACAAGGTGTTATGATGCATGAAAAAGCAATAACGTTGATGAAAACACATAAAGAAAAAGAAATCATTCTTCTATAGAAGTTGTATATCGATAAAAGAAGAAGGGAATATTATTACATCTATACACGCTACATAGAGGTAATACAGTTGTACATGTACACCCCACTGTGACATTTAAACAATTTGTTAGAAGAAGAAAGTAATCGTTACTTTTAGTATTTAAGTACATTTTGCAATGGCTGAAGGTAAGACTCAAAATACATTTAAAGCTAAAATATTCTGAGATACTATTACTGTATAAAAAATTAAATTCCTCCCTTCCAGGAAACCGAGAATGGAAAGTGCCTCCTGCTGGTTATATCCCACTAACAGCCGAGGAAATTGCCAAGCACCCAAAATACCAGCCGCCGACCGAGTCACCCTTCCGTACGGCCATAGTGAATGTTAGCGGCAAAGAGGTTGAAATTACTTATGTTCCATCTTGGTCTGTTCAATCATCATTCGAAGAAGTATTAGCTGAAGCTGGTTTACAAGGACGTAGTGACTTAGCGCTTTATGCCGGTGAACATCAAGATGAAAAGATCGATGATTTAACAGCATCGTTTGACGATCTTGTGAATCTCGTACCGGAAAACAAGCGCTCGGGACCATTACAATTAACAATTAAATAGAGATTTTCAAGTATTAATTTAAAATTTTTACATGTTTGTAGTTTAAGAAATCACTCTAACCTAGCCATAATAACGCTTGCGATTTTATTTGTCGATATAATGTTGAAGTTGCAAATTATATTCAACAACGAAAACTGGATAGAAGTGCAATGATCTGCAGTTTTAAGGTTGAGTCTTCATTGACTAACATGAATGAAGTTCTTGGTCTGACCATCAAAATCATACTGAAAGCTAACTCTGTAATATGCGAGACTGATCGGATCGTTTATGACATGGAAGAGAGGCTGAATCAGTAGGATGACCAAGATCAAAAATCTTTCATTTATTCAAGTTTCATTTTATTGTTATTGTTTTTGAAATTTCCTTCTTAAACAAGAAACCAACTATTTTTTGATCTACACTATTGACTCTCTTCAAAATAGCCATTTAGAATATTCCTCTTTTTACACGTCATGTTCGGTTTCATATAGGCTGTGAAATATCGATCATCCATCTGTTTGATGACAATCTATGATTATGACGATCTGTGGTTCGCCAAACGGAGCACAGTTCGATGGGAGATATCGGAACTTGAAGACCAAATGAGCGTAATTGAGGAAAAGTGCAAAAAGTGCTTCTAGTATCATAGAAGATTACAGGTTGTTATCTCGTTACGATTCAGTGCGATTTCTCTAATGACAAGGCATTTTAATTTTTAACTTAAGTTAAAAATTAAAATGGCTTATCATTACATTAGTCTAATGTCAGAAAGTTTCTAACATCTTCTATAGAATTTTATATAATGTATTAGAAATTAACCTATCAAAAGACGTTGGATCTTTCATCTGATTATAGTGCTATAAGAACTTTTTCTCGTGTCAACTTGACATCCTTATCTCTGACACAGTCAAATAGAAATTTAGTTTTTTATACAGGAGCTTCATGTATAAAAAACTAAACTTTTTTTACAGTTAATCATTTTTCAAGATCAAATAACTCTAGTAACATACCTATGAATTTCCTAACAGGATCCTACTAGGGTTTCGCTTACGTTTCATAGGATCCTAAGAAAATCCGAGTAGAAGCAGGGGTACCCAAAACTCAGAAGATTTGCTAGGATTCTGTTAGAATCCGAAAGGATTTTAATAAGGAAACGCGAAAAATATTCCGATCGTAAACGAATCCTGATATGAAATATATACAAAGTACTTAGGATCTTGTCTAGGGAAATATCAGTGATCTATCAGTTTAAGGCATATTCTTCATGTGCAAATTCCTGACGAGATCTATGTAAATTGCATTAATTGGTCGTTTACGGTCTGTTAGTGGCTAAAAGGTGCTCAGCATTTGCAACGAACTAAAAGATAGAAGATGACATTACTATTAGACAGTTCGTTCTATTTTTGTATGGTTCTCACTAGGAAAGTATTTGCTTGTATGCGCGATTTAGCAGAAGGGACTTAAAAATGCATATTGTGACGGAGCGAGTACTGCTGAATTGATTGCTCTAAAAGTTCAAACCTCGACAATGTAGTCTTACCCTTTAAGATGTTCCGGTAGATAGTAAGTGAATCAGAATGCATGACATAGAGACCGGAGTTCCCTGATAATATCGAAATAGTGTTAAATCCTAGTATTCTGTTGACAAATTGAATTTTTTCTGTTTTTAGGTGTTAATATAAAAGTCATAGTAGAGACAACATGTTCTCATATCCCTGAACATTTGATTTAAACTATTTATTGAAAACTAAATAAGTTATTTAACGTACTATCCAGTTAAAACGAAAGAAGATTGTATAACTGTAGTGGTATTACACAACCATAACAATATAAGAAATAGGTGTAACAGTTTAGGTGAATAAACTAAAAAAGAAAAGATAGGCGAAATAAACAAGTCAGCTAAGTGTGAGGGAAGAAGATCAACTTTTGGTAGAATTAGTTATATTTTTTTTTCAGTAATATTAGTACTAACTCAACAAGAAGAATTACCGTTAACAAATCGTCCGTAAGAAAGTTCCTTCTCTCAGACATCATCCTAATTTAATTAATTTATGTAAGAGAGACCGACGACCAACTGTTGATTTGCAGTAAGTGTTTGATGATTCAATGGTGTTTCCTATAACTGGGTATCTCACGCGTTCTCTTTTCTAAATTCCATTGATACGAAAAAACTGTAACAAAAGTTTTAGTCAGATCAACATGTGTCGAAGGTAATATTTTCTATTGAATTTTGAATGCATTTTCGATTATCAAAGCTAACGAATATTGATTCGGTCGAATCGAGTACTCGTGTTTATTTGAGTATGTGATATAGAAGGACGAACAGCATACATTAACAGTTTTTTCATGTCAAGTGCTATTAGAAAAGTTAATGGATCGCTATTCAAATTTAGTTTTAATTCAGTTGTGGCAGTATTGCTTAGATCTAAGGTGGTCATCAGATCATTTTTGTTCATCATATTTTAGGATTAAAGATCTAAGAAACCCTATCAATGGAAAACATATTCTAAGAGTAAAAAAACGAAATTGTATATCACTGTTCTAAGTAAATACTTCATTTTTGTTACTTCACCTTCCGTCCTATATTGACCTTCAACAACAAATGGCAAAAACACAATTTTCTGTTCCATTGTTGTTTACCAACTGCATGTAACCTCTCAAATGAATGGTACAAAATCAACCTTCTTCTTCGCAAAAAATTTGTCACAAACGAGTATGTATAAAATAAACCGGCGGCTGCGGTTACTTTTTGAATAACTGTAGATTGAAAACAGATACAGCCCTGTAGTTTTCAACAGTTTGTGGCCACATTTAACTATGTTAGAATCAAGTTCAAAGCTAAGATCTACTATGATGTGCCGTATCAATCTTTGAAAGATTACCTCACTACACCTTAATATTCTATAACATGCTATAGCTTTGAAATATGCTGGATATAGGCTGACACCAATGAAAGTTCGACAGCTGCATCTCTCAGGGTTGACGAAGGCCAGGCTTTCCTAAGATTCCTATCCTCCAGTAACCTTTGACTCTCGACTACGCTGAATCTGGTGGCAATTGTTTTTGTTTAAGGCTTTTTAAAGCATTTCTTGTATTATTAATCAATTTCATTTTCTCTGATAATTTTTTCTCATTGTCATAGCAGTAAATGTCTCTTAATATTAAAATACGACAAAAACAAAAAACAGAAGAGCAAAAGTCCAGCAAATATTGTGAATTATTGTTCATTACCCATTATCTGATTCAACATCTTCTTCAATAATATCTGATTCAGATTTTTCAGCTTGTTTGAATGTATTTTCGACTCTTTCTGTATGTTATATAAAACTTGTAGCTAAATCTGCACCACAGCCGAAGATCTATTTTAAAACTAATGTTTCAACACTGTTTAAATTAAAGTCAATATTGCTACATACATATGTTTTAGGATCAGCCCATGCCAATTCGACTGGGTTTAATAGACAATGTTTAATAGGTCATCTTAAAATTTCAATCTTAAATTGTTTAGCAGCTTCATCAACTTTATATTTTGTTTTCGGCGCATACGCATCAACTAATTCTAATAATTCAGATTTTGTATATACATCCAAATATGAAACTTCATGCTGATCTAACCATTGTGAAACTTCTTTTTTCCATGATCGTTTTGGTAACTTTGTATCATCTTGTTGTTTATTATGCCATTTTACATCGTCAAAACCTATACAAACTTTACACTCACCTAAATAAAAACGGAAACTGTGACCTTAGTCAAAAATTTATTTTATTTTTGTTTTATTACCACATATATCAACATTAACTGATGAAAAGCGTGATTATTCATCATATGCACTTATAATTAAACGAGTTTCTAAAGGGATATAGACCCATTACACTATATGGAAAGAAATTTTGGATAAGATTTTTTATATAATTATATTTAATATTTATGTAACATCACTCACCTTTATCATCTCCAGTATGTATTCGCCTGTGCTCCTTACTATCTAATCAAATATTTAGTTTTTTCTCTTTACTATTTAACCATATCTTATTATACCAATAAATGGCTTGTCCACGTAACTCGAGACTTCGCTGATCAAGTTTTTGAAAAAATTATTTTATAGTAGAAGTAAAAGGAGCATATCACTAGATGCAGCTTTTGGCGCTGATTACGAATCTCACATTGTTTTTTTAAAAAGTTACATTTTGGCGCCGAAAATCCAGTTTTACGTTTTTTGAAAACTGTATTTTCAATTTTCTCAACTAGACAGTTTTGCTAATAAAAACGGAAGACCACACTAATCGGTAGAGAATTCGATTTTCTACAAGATGGTATGTTTCTTTTGAAGTTTAGACTCAAAACAAGCTTTTTAATAAAGTTTTAAGTTTTAAGATTCTCACACAATTCTAAGAAAGTGAAAACATTTCTTCAGCTTTATTTCACGTTAGTCTATATTAGACGCCTAAAACTAAGTCCGCTGTGAAAATGAAATCCTGTGAGCAATGTTTGATGCTCCAAACTCTGTTGGGAAAAACGTATGTTGCAGCGTCACGACGATAAAACACAGTTATTGAGGAATGGAAAGCTCATTGGAAAGATTCTTTTTTAGCAATCAGTAGCTCGTTTACTCCTCTACAAACTTTACTCGAGGCGCTTTTTATTAGCTCTTCTAAATTCGCAGCAAAGGACCCTGGCGGATTTGGTGACCCTCTTGAAACAAGAAGCTAAATATACAGCTATGGTTTGGAAAATTTTCTGATCAAAAACCATGGACTTGGTTTTCCAGCGGTCAGGTTTTTCAGAAACCCTATTATCAACTTTTCTCATGAAACGTCGATATGCACCTCATTTGATAGAAAAATCTTCGGCCTATTCAAAACAGTATTCAGATTGGCTTCAACGTTTACTAAAAGATCTAAAATAAAGGAGTTCTTGGGATTATCACGCACTGTACTGCATAGATAACACCCAAACGCTTCTTTTCCATATCTTTAATCCTAGTAGTATCATACCTACAAACATATATGTATATATAACAATGACCCTAACATCGAATTAAGAATAGAAAAAAAAGTAACAAAATATTCCCACTATGTTTTCAAATTTTTCGGTATGGGTCAAAAATGATCCACTTGGTACTACTAGGGTTAATGACTGGTTCCACCTGTCTGGATATTCTGACCCGCTCACGTTGTAGAGAACTTCAAGGGCTATCCAATGGTATGCTTTTGAAATATACATAATTCTTCATTATGGCAGAAAAATAAGTAAAGGAGTGTTTAAAGCACTAAGATAGGTGAAAATCATTATAACGGCCAAGTATTTCGAGTATAACGGCCAAGTTTTGAGTATGAAGCGCCCCCCTTAGATGAATTTTGGAATAGTGCATTTTATAGAACGAACTCGCACACAGTTTCTAGCAAAATTTGGCTTCTGTTCACTTCTCTTGTGAGGTACACGACTCAAAATACTGAGAAACATTAAAATCGATAAACCATACAAATCGATATAAAGTCTCATTTTTCTCCATCAATATGAGGCGAGCAGAAAAGTCGAATATATCAGCGTGTAGCCCAAGACGATATCTACGCAAGTATACATTGAAAATATTTTTTTTCGCCTCTTGTGACTGGCACTAAAATCGATATAGGTTCAGATAGCTACCGTGACGGTCGGCCAGAAAATTGCTTCTAGATCCTGTATCCTGGTGTGAAAACGAACATCACTCTATACCGTTCGATTCGTCTTGAGCTGCTCTACAAAACTATATATTTAGCTTCTTGTTTCAAGGGGAGTCACCAGATCCGCCAGGGTCCTTAGCTTTTGATGAGAAGAACTTCGAATTTAGAGCCTTTTTTTGCACAGCGTCACACGCCGAAAAACGATTCTAAAAATTCGAGTCTTTAACCACGCACCTTCATTTTTATACCAAAAGTAGAGTCGAATGGCGCAAGAACGAAGTTTCTAGCTCTTACACTTTTCGAGAAAAGGTCAAACTACTGTGTGAAAAATGTCACAGCGCTTGGACAAGCCGTGGAATATCGTACCATTATTACGATATTCTTCTAATTTACGAAAATACAACGCTCTTGGTGCAATAGAAAACATGGAATCTAATGACATTGTTGATTCTAATGCTTTAGCATATTTAAAAGTCATTTCCCTCACATGTTTTGACAATGTGGGTATCCTATGCATAGGAATTGATAAATCAGCTCATATACATGCTAATATTTTTTTCTAATGTCTGGTATTGTTTTTGAGAAAGTAGTAAATGAAAATGATATTTAATGGTATTTTAATCGTATGCTTTCTTTAAATATTTTATTGTTGAACCACTATGATCGTTTACCTACTACCACTGACGATCGTTTACATCATTTAACGGAAGTATTCTACCATTTTTCTCACTTGTTACAAAATTTATTACATGGATATAAATTGTTTTGTTTCTTTAAAAACTCTTTTGGCATTACACTATTATTGTCATCGTTGTAATTTACAAGAACTGTTTTACATTGATTGTCTAACTAGATATACATTGCTATTTTTGTTTATACTGGGTACGTTGTCAATGTGAGTCGAAAATACCATACTGCTCGCTAAAGTAAACACTTATCAGCATTTTTTTAAAGATAAAATAGTCTTCTCTTTATAGATAACATCAATCATCAGACATATACTTATTTTTTCTCTTGTTCTTTTCCTCTGCGAACATATATAAGTATTAGGATTGATATTGTGTACAATGATAACTTTCAATTCGATTATTCGTTTGAGAGCGAGCATCAATCATTTCATACAATTTCCATATGCCTATCTTAAGTTAACACCTGATAAAAGAATGTAACGACAAAGGCTCTTTGTAGTACATTATGTTTAAGGTGACCTCATGTAATGAATGTCAATTTTTAAACTTACATTCATATACACACATACATTCATCTCGAAAATTGTTGAGGCATAGATGTCATTATCACAAGAGAGAGAAAAATATTTGACCTCAAAAACATCCTGCATTCCTTTCAATTGCAACTATCATCAAACACATACGCTCTCGCTCTCTCTCTCGCTCTACCGAGATATATGTTTATTGTCCGTATATTAAACATACACATTAATAAACATATGAACAAAAAACAATAAAATAAATGGAAAATAGCAAAGAACATCTGTCTGAATATCCAAATATGTGTGTATTTACTAGTTCTCCATCATCCTATATATTTATGTCTTGTCTTGCATTTAGTTGTTGAAAAATAAATTGAGCACAATGACGGCCCCTCATCATCAGATTCCCAGAAAATTGTAATTGCGGCCTCCCAGTATTTTCTATTTTTCTCGTGTTTCTTTAGAACGCAAAGGTTAATGTTTTTTAAAAAGATGCGCCGCGAAATGCTCTACAAAACCATACCTTAGCTTTAATTTTAGAGCTTCAATCAAGAAAACTACGAAGATTATATGAAAGACGAAATTTCCGCACAAAAAGGGTAGCAAACATGAGAAGTCAGTTCTTTTTGTACTCTTGAATGTGCTCTTTCTCGTGGTCTGTAAAAAAATCTTTTAGAACAGATGGCATTGAAAAAACTAAATAAGTAGCGAAAAACTGCAGCTTTTTGGTACTTGTCAATTGGGGGTACCTTCGCTGTACTCAAATTATTTTCCAGCAGATAAATGCAAGACAAGACATAAATATATAGGATAATAGAAAATTTCAAGCACTATCAGAATATATAATTATTTTCTTAAAAAGCTATTTCTAAAGCAAAGATAAATTTAAAATACTAATTGAAAAGACAGCAGGAAAATTCAATCGTTGGGAATCTGACAATGAGGTTGCCTTAATTTCACTCGATTTTTCTCCCAATGAATAAGAGCAAGGCAAAATCTAAATATGCAGGTAGATTGATAGAAAACTCCAGGCGCTATCAGATGGTATAATTATTTTTTCCAAAATATGGTTTTAGAATGTCGAAAAAGCTAAAAAATCGACTGTAGCGTTTGTTTTCCAGGGGAATATATAATGCAAGGTTTATTGAAACATAAAATATAATTCCCAGTTTATGAAATTATGATAGAAATCAAGGTGTTCTTAGCGTTTCTCGCGTATTTCTTGTTGGTTACGTAAATATATCGAGAGCAGAATTTCTCCTGCGCTTCGTTTATCTCACTTCACAGGTTTTTTTAGAAGCTGTCAGCATCAATAGCAGACGACAGATAGCCACAGAGAAAATCGGCTGAAGGTGAGGTTGAAGGCTCTGGAATGCTCTTTTACATCGTATAGCTCAACCAACAAATACAAAATTGACTACCTGTAATTCATCCGTCTGTAACTCGAAATCAATGACCGAAAGCAACTCTGCTACATTGTTCAGAATAGGTATGCACCCGTTCCAGTTACCTGGAGCCTGTTGAGAACTGAAATTGTGGGTGATTCTTTTGAAAGCGTACCAGAGTGTACATGGACTTTGTCCGAATTGTTCGGGAGTAACACGATTAGTACAACTCGGCCTCCTGATGACGAATATCACGTTTAAAAAATTTTAAAACAATGGCATGGTGGCCTTCTAGACCTGTGAAACTCCCATTTCCCAGCAGAGCCGTCCTTTTGTGAGTATTTTCACTATTTTTTAGTGAAACACTTTCGTGAGCTGGTACCGTCACATTAGCTTCTATATGTGCAGAACTACAAAACCACTAGCGGGGAAAAACTTCCGAAATGTTGACCATGTTCTCAAGAAGATATTTAAAAACCTCGTTTTTACCGAATACGTTGAAGTTTTAATTTTTATAAATTTTAAAATTGATTTTCGTGGTCATTGTAAAAAACTGCATCTAGTGATGTGTCTTTCGTTTTAATTAGATGGAACATTGTTTTTGAAAAATCAACAGCCCCGGTTCTCAACAGTTCCAGTTCTTACAGTTAATAGCTGGAACTGGTGCATACCTAGTTCAGAATAGCGTAAAATTATATAATGAATGATTAGAAAGGTCAGTCAACTCAAAAAGTATCAATAACCGATTACTTAACTAGTGCTTATCTCTCCTTTTGCATCAGAGGTACATATAACACACGATATTTGCCGGATGAGAATTTGTTTGGTGCCATAATGGGATATGTCTTCTTATCTAAAATACGATGTTGCAGTAAGCACCATGTGTAATACTTATTCGATATATTTACTTGATTCCTTGAATTCAGGCCGTAGTTCTGAGTACAAAGAGCCTCACAGACTATAATACTTTTAAAAGCGCAATGGTAGTGCCTGTATATCTCAGTTGTTGGACCATGCTTTGTGAAGGTTGTCTAACGTTTTTTATTGCTTGTTTGGTACAAATACATGTGCTATACAATATAGAGCAAAAACATTTTGCGGAGAGTTGAAGAAGCTATCCAATGATATGGTTGAAAAACTTTTGAAAGGAACAGCAACTTCTTTTAAAACTTGAATATCTCAATAGCCACTTGGGTTGTAGAGCTGCGATTTGTAGCAAAAAACTTACTATTGATTGCACCTTTGACCTATGTAACCGAAATCAAGTTTTGAGAAAGTCGATTGAGCAGCTTCTGCAGTACTTGATCGTGGCTTATCTGCAATGGCTCTTAAGTATAGTATTCCATCGTATGAATTGACAGTTATGCCTTACAGCTTCGTATAGCTCGAGATATATTCCGAATATTTTCGGTAAACCAAAGGCTTACACTTTTGCGGTATGGCGAAAAAATCGAAAAACAAAAGAAAGTCAGAGAGTGTTACTGCGAAGACGTCTGGGATCGAGAAAGAAGTATGATTCCCTTATCCACTGACCCGTGCTAAATAAAGCAATGTGGTACAATTTTTCCAATATATTACGGAAACATGGGTAGACAACGTCGAAAGATTTTTGAGTAGCAACTTTAAAATTATCATAATTTAATTGCGTTTTCGTATGTGCTACAGTTTACAAATACTACACCGTAATGTTGGGAATAAGTCGAAGCCGCATTTCCAGTTCGGTTTTCTAGAATTATGGAAAATGCTCAGCGATTTTTAATCTGAAAATTCCTCGGTGATTTTATATATGAACTTTTGAAAATTCGATAAACCCAATTAATTTCCAGTTATCTGGAAAAATCCGTGAGAAATTTTCAGTTATTTGGAGTATCATTCAGAATTTTTCAGGCGTTTATATAATTATATAATGTCGTGTTTAAATATTTCAGTACTCCGCAGAAGCAGAGACTTGAAACAGTAAATGGCATAAGAAAAAGCTTTTTCCGGGACCGCGTAAACCTGACAGGCTTCTAGGTTAAGAATGCTCTGAAAGGTGCTTTGCTTATTTATTTATCGAAAACAGAAATAAAAGTTGTAACTGTTCAGAATTTGAGTAATGTGACAAAAAATGAAAGATAGCAAACAACAAAATAAAAACTATTGTACCATTTCAGGACTAAAACTAACCATTTTAATTTTATGTTTTTTTCATATACAATAAAAATGTGTGTGTTGAAATAAGAAGTACGATGAGAAATAAAAAGAAGGTTCATCTTATCACCATCACCATTAATCAATCAGTTACTTGGAAAATGCTATGAATAGAATAATGACCAAATATGCATGATACAACTTGGCGGTTTGGGGCTGTTCTTTAGTTCTATGGTTCTATTCATGGAGGAATAATGTACTCTCAAAAAAAAATTAACTTAGCTTTTGCGATACAGCTGAGGGGTACGGGATTGAAAATTCGAGTTAGATACAGTTACAAGTATCAGTCTTTGAATCAATCGTACTACTGTAAGGAATAAATCAAATAATCAGATAAAAAAGAAAATAATCGTATATACAAACAAAACGGCCTCCAGCTCATACTGAAAGAGAGCGGTTCGCTGGTAATTGGTTAGTACATCTCCAATTTTTCGGGTTTTTTTATCATACAGTTGACGAACTAGTTTC